AAATCGGCTAGTCTGTAGGCAAAAAATATAGACTAATTATAAAAATATTTAACCCTTAATTTGTTTAACTCTTGGTTGGCACAGTTATGAAAGTAAATTTCAAAGTTTTAGGGGAAATTTACCACCCTGGTGTCAAGGCAACCATATTTATGTCCTATTTTGCACCTAAATCTGCAGTTCAAGTTTTCCCGTGTGAATTAGCCTACAGGCATATCTTACAACTTCCATGGTCTGTTAATATAATTCCTTGTAACGACTGTCTCATATCTACTTTGTATTTCCATTACAATAGTTTATTATTATTATTATTATTATTATTATTATTATTATTATGTAAAAGGCTTTCAGGTTCTTTTTGTATCTCCATACACACCCACATTCATATTAGATCATAACTTCTCCGACTACGTGAGTCACAATATTCAAATCACAATAAGCCAAAGAACTGACTATGGTTATGTGCTTAGGCATTCCAAACTCACGTTTCAGTTTTCTGCGTCGGCTTGTGTGTGTGTGTGTGTAAGATCTGTTGTGTTGACGTAATGTCTCAAGTGCGCGCACGTAGTCTAGAGAGAGCGAACGCATTTTGACCATGCACGAATCCTGTGCTCGTTAGTAAATCTGGTTTCTGGCGCCATCTAAAGAACAAAAATAGAATCGCATATGCAATTCTTTCCCGGGGGGAAATGATTTTTTCTTTGCGTTTCGTTTTTTTTTTAAATATATATATATATATATATATTGTTGTTGTCGGTTAGCTAACGACCAGTCCGAATTCGACTATTGTAGGTTACATCTTAATAAGGACCTGTCATAACTAGAAACACTGATTTGTTTAAATTATTTTAATGTGAATTGTTCTAGCCCATAGAAAACCATAGTTTTACGATTTGGCATGTTGTCTAAATTGATAGAAAACATAAAACTGCAAATAAAAACAATATAAAAATAAAATAAAAATATTCAATTCTAAATAAAATACAAATGTAAACCTTTGGAGATAATTTAAATATAGACAATTGACACACAAAAAAAAAACGTTTGAACTAAAAAATGCATTTTATTTATACTTGGGCGATACTCAGTTTGGCTCAAAAAATTTCATGTTTCATGAGAGAATGTCAGAATGTGTTGTGAGACAGATTCGGGTTTTGTGAATGACTAGTAAAATGGCGCGGCTTTTCTCTCAGGTTTCATTCTGTGCGCCGTTAAAAGGGGTTAAACCTCGGGGTGGTCGTCTAGACAATGAAAGCCAAGGCCACAGACAATATCTCAAGCGTATATCTGTTTTAGCCTGTTTTTTTGGAGGAAAAATAAATAAATAAATTTGATAACCGTTTCTTGCCATTTTCTAAATAATGCATTTGATGTAGAAATGTAGCTTTTTAGCTCTGAGGAAGGCCTGTTCGCCGAAACGCGTTAATACAATAAAGGATTTTTTTTAATTCCATTTTTATTCGTTAATTTCTGTATTCCACAAGTGTTGCTGGTTTCGTTTAATTAGTATTTTTGCTTTTTCCTCTTGTTAGTTTTGTGAAGTTACACTAGAATAACCTCACAAGACATAGAAATCAATGACGCAAAGTCTTTGTCAGAAATACGTTTGTGTGCTCATTAATCGCGCTATTTTTCAAAACACGACTTGGTCCAATAATTGTATTGCTATAAAGTAACCAACACACTTCTAACGGTGAAGCATAGATGGTAGAGATAAATGCAAAGAAGTCTGAAACAACGCTGGTTATGTTTGATCAGTATAAATCTGAAATTCAAACAGAAAAATGACCTAAATGTGCTTCATGTGATAACACAGTATTTAGGCTAGCTGATTTTGTTCTAGTCAAAAATAACATTGCTAAATAACCTAAATACGTTTGGTTATGGTTATAGCTCTTTTAGTTTATGTTGTCTTAAACTTGCAAAACACCAGTCAACAATGCGCGCTACTCTTGAAATCTCATGAGTTAGCCTAATAGTTGTTTTTGCTTTAACATTTGTAAACAAATAGTTCATCGTACATGTAAATATTTTAGTCATGATTTTATTGCATTCTCAGTCAATCCCTGAATTGTCGTGCACTATTAAAACAATTTTCTTAGACAATAGCCTACACTTATTTAAAAAGTGACACAAAATACAGAATTTTTCCCGGTCACTTAACTTCCAGTAAGAGTGTGAATTACGCCACAACTTCAAACTTAGATAACACCAGTCCACCAAACAAAGTTACTAATACGTGAAATAAAGTCCCTTGTAGTTGTTTATTTTTTTATTTTATTTTTTTAGGACAGCACACGTTGTCATGCCCATTTCAGAAGTTTTTATAATTTAATTAAAAATTGGGTCAAAATGGTTTGGTATTTTTATCATCTTGCTATTATTATAATTATTATTATTATTTTTTTTTCGTTTTATCCTCATTGGACTTAACAAAGAAAACCAACGCTAAATGACATTAGGCCTATGTATCGCCACCAAACATGATTTATTTTATTATCATTATTGTTGTTATTTACTGTGTACATTACACTATTGTATTTAATCGTCGCTTTAAAAAAAATCGCAGTGTAATTGTAATAGAAATTATCGTTATAGCTGCACGCATTTTAACAAATAGCCTACATTTGATTTCGTATCATTTGTAATCTAATTTGTGACTCTAATAGCAGTCCATTAATTCCCAAACATGTTTAATAAAGCACAGGGTTCCAAACAAATTGCTTTAACTGTTCTGTTGTGCGTTGTATGTAACAGACAGTTTAGTCGTACCTAAAGTTTTATATCACACTGTAGCTAGAGGTGACCGGACATTCCATGGCTCCACATACAAACAGTTTGGCTGCAAAAACATGATTTTTGAACAAATTAAATATTATTTAGCTTCACACTAGTTATTCTTCTGATATATTTACGGTTATAGTTATTTCAAAACTGCATGTTGCTGTGTGTGATATATTTACTTTGGCGTGTGTGAGAGAGACTATGCAGGCCTATATTATTTTGAAGTGGAGGTTTCGTGCATTTTTTTTTTTTCCAAGCCTGTTTTTCCTACTTGTCACATTATATTGCTCTTTGTCGTTCCTTTGTAAAGTTCCCTGATGTGAAAGCGAAGTTTGTGAAATTCCATCCGGGGCATGGGGAGGCTTGCGTGGCGTTTGTTATTCATTCTTTTTCAGACTTGCGCGGTGGGCGGTAGCCCGTCCCCCTCCCCGAACTTGAAGTCGACCGCACAGCCAAGTCTGTGCGGTAAACCTGAGGGAAGGGGGCGTGGGCCGCAATGCCAGACTATACATAGATACTGTGGAACGAAAAAAAAGCAACAGAATGAGATTATATCATAACGTTATATAAAAGCATATGATTCAATCTCTTACTTCGCATAACATAGGCCTATATTTAAGATGGTTGTATATATTAATGTAGCTACTTATGGCATTATATTCGTATATTCATATTTTAATCCATGTTCCTATTTATTCTAACTGTTCTTTTGTCTAAACTATCTTACATTATTTTTGAATCTGTTGTTACAGAGAAATTGTTGTCTTTATAGCTACATGTTGCTCGACCTCTTCATCTTGGTTGAGCAGTCTCGCTCTGTTGTGTTAAAAGGAGAGTAAAAAGGGGGTCGCATTATTTAGAACATACAAATTGCATTAAAATCTCTGCTTTCCAGTTACCCATCGCAGGTTTCCGTTGTAGTACTCGGGCCCCAAATTACTGCCGAAAGCTTTCCAACACACGGCGCGGAATTTGTCTTGTGTTGACGAAGAGGCGGAGCGTCTCGTCTTGGGGCCACCGATTTTGTATTTGTAGCCTATTATTCTGCTAATTATCGTGGAGAACTTATTAGCATAAAGGAATTATATCATCAGAATATCTTAAATCTCCCTGTGCGTTCCTCGGAGGCACGTAGGGTGCAAGGGGATTAAGGGTTATGTGTTGTGGAAAAGTGAGGCCTATACTGGCCTAATCCAGGTTTAAGAACCACGGTTAAACTCATTTATTCTCAGGCCGTTCAAAACTCAATTAAACTGTTTTCTATATTAGGCTACTTAATGAGCTGCCGGGACAAAATTCACGTGATAGTTAAAAAAAAAGAGGGGCGAAAAACACAAGGTTCTGAACATTTTGAAAGTTGCCGGAATTGTGTTAAATAAACGAGGCACTATTAGGTAAGTCCGCATAATGTGTCATTTATTCAGTAGACCAAGGTCTTTGTGAATGTAGTTCGTTCGTCGTGTGAATTCAACTTAGAATGATTTTATATTGCAAAATTTGAACGGAGAAGCAATGATCTAAATATTATTATGAGTAATCATGTCTTCTGATTTACAAGCATAATCATTAATCATCATAGGCCTACACATTTTGTGTCAAATAACTTAATGACAATAAAAATGTAAAATGTAAGACTGAAAGACTGAAAGGTATAGTGCAAATATTTTTAAATAGTGTTTTATAGAAAGTCTGGATTACAGAAGCCACATGTACCAGCCTTTGTGTTATGATAGACAGTATTGATCGCTCGCAAGCCTCAAGTCACAAACACTGTTCTTGACTTACCTTCTAACTTAGATTACAGTAGCCTAATTTGGCAAGACTTTGTATTTATTTTTTTTAGAATGTCATTTCATAACGTCTATTTGTAAATTTAAAATAGGACATTCAAAAACCACAGTCAGTCGAACACAGTACAAATTATTTATGTTCAACAGAGAATGTTTTAATTTTCACAAACTAGGCCTATTCGCAAACCAATTAGAAATTCATTCGTACTTCAGTCTGAACTTCGTTAAACAGTTTGGATCTGCCATTAATTATCTTTCACTGTCAATATAAACAAGTGAGCGAGGATCTGTCCATTTATTTTCTAGATCACGTGATCCTGGCCTCAGTTGGACTGGATAGAGATGGATTTCCACGTCATCTTACGTCTCAAAATTTCTGCCTCGCGGATACCCCTACAACTCGGGTAAGAGCCACGCGCACATGAGAGCTATGTTGTGGGCGTTGCGTATAGGTCTCGCTAGCCCAAGCTAGAAGCTGCGCGGGTACAATGATGGATTTTGACGAGAGGGTTTCCGTTGGCTCCAACATGTATCTGCCCAGCTGCACGTATTACGTTCCGGGGGCTGATTTCTCCACGTTGCCCTCTTTCATTTCCCAAAGTCCGTCTTCTCGTCCAGTTACCTACTCTTACTCATCTAACCTGCCTCAGGTACAGCATGTCAGGGAGGTTACATTCCGAGACTATGCTATTGACGCGTCCAGTAAATGTCCTCACCGGGGTCCACTGGCTCAGTGTTATCCGTCGGAGGACATAGTACACAGGGAGTGTTTACCAGCGGCGACGACAGTTGGTGAAATGTTCCCCAAGAATAATGCATCTGCGTATTATCACTCATCGAACTCGACCTCCGCGTCCAATTTCTACGGCAATGTTGGAAGAAACGGGGTGCTTCCTCAAGCATTTGACCAGTTTTTTGACACCGCCTACGGGGGCTCGAACAGTGTTGCGACCAGCGACTATGCAGCGAGGGATAAAATGCACTCCAGCAAACAGCCGACGCCAGCGCCCGCAGCGGAGCAGGAGTGCGAAGGAAAGGAGCGACAGGAGACCAGTAGCCCCGAGTCTTCTTCCGGAAACAACGAGGAAAAGACTAGCGGTGCGAGCAGTAAGTAGGCTAGAGCTCAGCGAGACTGTCATGCGAGAAAGTTTGCAATCTTGCGCGCTCCTGTTAAAATTTTTATATGCTGTTTTATAAGCGTATAAGGTTTATGGAGGGCCTGAGATTTCCTCAACAAAACCTAGGCTACATATAAACTGTGAGAATCACGTGCTTGGAATTGAAATTGACCATGAAAAGACAAAGCTAGTGCATTTTTAACTTGAACTTTAAAATGTATCTAAGTGGCCGCAGTGATTTCACAGGATTGTTTACAACAGTCAGAGTAACAAGCGCCTAGTTATTCTCTGGTAATTAATGCATGTTTTTAAAAAAAGTAAAAATACGTTATTATAAAAATATATATTTTAAATTTTACAACCCTTTAGATAGAAAATCTGTTGTTTGTAGCCTAAATAAACTTTAGATTTAGATGTATCTTTGTATTTATTAACCTTAACAATGACAATCATAGATAGATAGATAGATAGATAGATATTGCGTGTACTGTACTAACTTCTTTAACTTATTTTCATACAGGCCATAATGCCATATAATAATCTTATTTTTCATAATCTAACCCTTTGTATTAATGATGATCATTTGTTTATTGGTCATTTCATGTTAGGTGGACCCAGGGTTCGCAAGAAGAGATGTCCCTATACAAAATTTCAAATCCGGGAGCTCGAGAGGGAATTTTTCTTCAGCGTGTACATTAACAAAGAGAAACGACTTCAGCTCTCACGGATGCTTAACCTCACCGATCGCCAAGTGAAAATTTGGTTCCAGAACCGGCGGATGAAGGAAAAGAAACTAAATCGGGACCGGTTACAGTACTACAGTACCAACCCACTGCTCTGGGGCAAGGAAATAACAAGAGATACAATACAACAGCTGCAGTAATGAGATCACATACGAGACGTTATACAGACTCTGAGCGGTTAACTTCAAGTTCGTGACAAGGCACCATTCACGTGTATACAATTATAGAGAGCATATAGGACATTGAAATTCACATTTTAAATACGGGTTGTTTGTGCTCGTAATAGATAAATGTATACAATTTAATTAAGAGCTCGTGATACACACTGAACATGGACTATTCCGCTTGCAGTTGTGATGGACTACACGCGACGATGGAGTGAAACTGGCTGAAATATCCGAGTCTAAACAAGGAAAGGCTTTTGACAAGCCATTCGTATGGCGTGTTAATTTTTTGTGGAGGAATGTTGTACAGGTTGGCCTAATGACTTTGGTGTGACCAAATATTAAAAAAAACTGCTAAAATGTTAGCGTGACTGCTCCCAGTTTCCAAATTATTTATTTGATTTGCCACCAAATATAATTTTCATCCATAGTTGTTATAGTGAACGTCTTTAAGCAATACTTTCTTCTACTGCCGTCACAAGCAACTGTGTACTGACTAAAATCTGATCATCCAAAGTTTTCACTTGCTGCAAACTCTGTGAACACGGAAATAAAACAGACAGTGAGCCTCACCGAACGGAGAACATGCAATCTCACTGAATCTCATCCCCAATCATAAATATTTTCGGACTCGAAATTGGTAATCTTTATGAAGTGGACTCTTTCAGGCTTAAGAAATGACGTTTTCACAATGACTTTTTTTCGCCCATGTTCTAGGCTACTCTGCACCGCTATGAACATTATCCTGGGGTTAAAATAGGATTTGGCTGATTGTAATCCAGAAAATCATCTTCATGACATATACTTCCTAAATTAAACAATTAAAGGGGTACAACGTATACTTGTAGTAGCCTACACCGTTTTCTTTTCAAATATATCTATATTTGTGTACATATGTATTATGCATGAGTATACACTTGCGCATTATGCGCATTTATAAAAAAAAAAACACGTTTTGTTTTTCTTCTTTTTCTTAAGAACTCTCTCGGACCATAAGAAGAAGCAATTGTTACCTGACAGTTTTACCGTCACAGTGGTTACAGTACTATTTGCAGTTATCATCTGAATGTTTATGGCCGTGCTCGTAGTGTTCATATATGACAGCCTAAGAGCAATAAACTAAGACAGAGGGGGAGAGAAAGACTGAGCTTTATGGTTGCTTGCTGCAGAGCGACATGTCCTGGCTGGCGCATCCTTCGAGGCGCTGAGGAATATCCGCCTAATTACGGGGACATCCTCCTTGTTGCTTCAGCAACACGACCATAAAAGCTGTCTGTGTCTGGAGCATTTGGGCAATTGCAGTGTGGTGTCATAAACCGTCTGAGAACCAAGGTTATCAGCTACGATTCCAAGGGGACAGAGGCAAAGAGATTTTGACGTGCGGCTTTCAGGAGTGCTCGTGTGCTTTCTGCCTGTATTAATTTCACACTAAAAGTTTTTTTCCTGCCGTGCGTAGTGCTGTTTTCTCTGTGTTATTTATTACTTATTATTAGTTTATTTTATTTTATTTTATTTTAGTTTTTCTCTATTTTCATATATCGGCTTGCAGTGATAACTGTCCCACGAGTAGGTTCAAATGGCCTCCATTGGGAGGCACTCGTGAGATCAATGTCACGGCCGTGGATCATTGATTGAACAGCAGAGGCGGACAAAGTACTCAACTCCATTACTTGAGTGAAAGTACAGATACTGCTGGTCAAATATTACTCCATTACAAGTAAAAGTTGTAAAGACAGATTTTTACTTAAGTAAAAGTACAGAAGTAAAGAGTCCAACTAGTTCGGGTTCGTTGAAACATATCAAATTCCCTGCAGGTGTTCCGACCGTACTGCCTTCAATTCAGACAGTCACTAAAACATTCCACAACTTTAACCGACTGGAACAGAACAAGAAATAAATGTCCACTGTTCTTATTATATTAAATATGATAGTGTAAAATATGAGGGTATTAAAAATTCGCTTTTACCACTGAATCAAAAAGTTTATGGCAAATGAACTATGCTCCGTCGATTAAGAAGTCAATTAAGGATATAGCAAAGACTTTTCGCTTATATCTTTGAGCAAAATTAATTTACAAAAATGGCCAAGCTATTTTATAGCCAGCTGCATCGAGGATTAATTGGTCTCAAAAATGACGCACATCGTTCATTCAAGCTTTCAGCGATGACTGAACATTAACGGGAGAACAGCTGTCTGAACCGCTCTTTTTTTCTCTCCCGTTGACAAATTTAATTATGTAATTTAAAATGATGTTTGTAATTGTGATACATATCGTGCCTTTCCGCATTAGGACTTAAGTAACAGCATGAAGAGGTGAGAGCAGACGGACGGGTAGTGTTACAGTGCGTGTGGACTATTTGTCTCTAGTGCAAAATAAATGCTTCCGCTGATAGCAATAAAATGTGAGATTTCTGTTCTTGAGTTTCTCTTACAGCGAACTCGATCTTGGGAACAAAGAAACGTGGAAATGAAAGGGTTGAGTTTAGCATTTCAGCTTTGGCAGGTATAGGCATGATAACTAAAATACATAGGCCTATGAAATATTACGTTTAGATCGACAAATATTAAATAAGTAATGGGTTGTAGTGTTACACGATGAAGACGGAAATAGCAATGTCTGTATGTGCAAGTGCATGCTAGTGTAGTCCCCAAATTAGGCCTAACTTCATTAGGCCAATTAGCCTAAACCTAGTCTAGTCTATTTCCCATATACTCCAGTCTAACCACTAATTGACTATAACCACTAAGATAAATTTATTGTTTTAAGCGGATGGATTACATACCCTATGGCCTGTACTAAAGACAAACAAAATACAACCATAACCAATAACAATAATGAGTTTTTCTATAGCCCTATCACATTTTTAAACTAAAGGTTTATGATTTAGAAAATTGTATAAAATAAGTGGATATGGAAGAATAAACACGAAAGCGGGGAAAAGGTATTGTTAGCAACATTATTTTATTACTTACATTGTTACATTGACTTCATAAAAGGTAAATAAGCCTTAGATCAGTCTTATTTATATTACGCTATTAAAAAACACAACTTAAAATATCGAGAGAGATAAAGGGTAGCCTAAGAAATCTGGCCATATTTTGGAATATATGACTGTTAGGCCTATAAACGACAAATCCCTTTTTCACGTTTATTTTTAAACTTGAATTTGAACATGCCAGTGTCAGTGCCATACAGCGTGGATTTGGAACTTAAGAAACGTTGTGCTGTCTGTGTTTTGTTTTGTTTGTTTTGTTTTAGCATGTGGATGTTTAAAGGATTCGAAAAATTTATAATACGTTGAATTTGAAGACGGTACTTTCTAATGTGTGCAGCAGAAATGGCAGTAGTGTTATTTTGTCTCAGACATAATTCTACAAATACTTAATATTAAGTCAAGAATTAACATTGATGTTTTGATCTTAGGCTGTTGATAAACTTACTCTCCGAATTTCGATCTGTTTTAAATTCGAAAATATATGTGCTTGTTAATATAGGCCTTGTTTGTTCGAATTTTAATACATGTTTTAAAACGTTGTGTATTTTTCAAACACTGAGGGAGAAAAAAAAATGTGTGGCAACCAGCAATTTCACACATGCACACATGTTTTAGGTCGTGTGCGCGAGGTTGAGCGCAGAATGGCGCATAGCGCGAAAATCTAGTCGTTCCACATCTGGTCTGCTCTGCAGTCCAAACATTGCTGCTATACAGACAGGTGACGCAGGCCTGGAGGGGTGTGGCTCTTTGTGTTTCCATGCTCCAACTGGTTGAAGCGTGCTCACTGAATTGAACGAGGACACCTCAGCACACCCAGCTTGTCAAACGAAGTAAATGACCACCAATGAGCTTTCTCATGCACTATCCTCAAAACACTTCCCGGTAATGGCGTGGGAAGTGTTAGCGCAAAAGGGAGTGAGTGCCTTTCGGATTCCCTAAATAATAAGCGGACTGAACCTGGAAGCTAGATAAGCATCAGTAACTGGAGTTTGGCATCTTACTTTGAAAAGCAACATTACTCACAACCCAGCAAAACTTCAGACAAATGTGGCTGCTCAAACCATAACTGTGACCAGCATGGCGATGTGGTTTGGAGCAGCTCGTGTCGCATCGTTAAAACATTTTGCCTCTGTCCTCAGGACATCAAAGAATTTCGAGCCGCGGATATGCACTAAAGTAGCATCCAGCCACACCTGAAAGAGGATTATCGTTCACGGAATGCATCGGGCAGGTGCTGGGATCCGATAGTATCTTGCAGGGATATAGGCCATCTGACGTCGAGCCTATAGTCACTACTGCAGTGGCTGCCTATTTAGACGTCCACATCTCTATTATCAAGCAAACAAGATGGAGATGATCGTGTTGTCTATACGCCGGATGGCAACGATGAGGAAAAAGCACAGGAAACGTAGCACATTCGGGAAATATGTCAGACTTACTTGGTGCAATGTGGCAAAGGTAAGGTCTGTTATATGTCTGGTCTTTGATATGCATTTGATACTATTAATTTATTACTAACATAACTTTGAGGCCATTTATGTATTCATCTGGTACAGAGACTAAATAGCATGTTAAAGGGGTCATATGATGCGATTTCAATTTTTCCTTTCTCTTTGGAGTGTTACAAGCTCTTGGTGCATAAAGAAGATCTGTAAAGTTGCAAAGACTAAAGTCTCAAATCCAAAGAGATATTCTTTATAAAAGTTAAGAGTCAGCCACGCCTACCTAAAACGGCTCGTTCTAACACGCCCCCACATACCTACGTCACTATCTGGGAAGATTTGCATAACGCTGCCCAAATGTTCACGCAAAGAAAGAAGGCATAACTTTTATTCTCGCTGTAGTATTGTTGCTGCCGCCGCCGCCATGTCGTAAAGGCGCTGTGTGCTTCGTTGTGAAAGCGAAACTACTTTGTTTGGCCTTCCAAAAGAGGACGATATCGCTTCGTCATGCCTAGAGCTGATCTGTGCTGGTCGCTGAGGAAATACTTCAACTCTGCGCTGTCGATCGCGGGATCGGCTTTCACCGTGGACAAAGCGCGAGTCCAGCCCTGGGTCGTCACATGTGGTTGCCGCAGGCATCACAATATGGTAAGGGACATAACATTTCCGTCACACGGCCAATTACAATGCACTGGATAGCTGGCCAATCAGAGCACACCTCGCTTTTCAGACCGATGAGCTTTGTAAAAATCGACGCGTTTCAAAAACTCACCCTCATGTCATTCCAAACCCCTAAGACCTCCGTTCATCTTCGAAACACAAATTAAGCTATTTTGATGGAATCTGAAAGCTCTCTGACCCTCCATAGACAGCAACAACTGAAATGTTCCCAGTCAGAAACGTAGCAAGGACATCGGTAAAACAGTCCATGTGACATCAGTGGCTCAACTTCAATTTTGCAAAGCTACGAGAATACTTTTTGTGCGCAAAGAAAACAAAAATGACGACTTTATTCAACTTCAAATTCTTCTCCCCCCGAGTTATGCCTTCTGCCATTTTGGAGAGTATCGCAACGCATAAGCACGCTTTACCCTAAGTGTAAACAACGGTGATTAAGCCGATTACATTCATGCCCGTGCTTTCCCCTCCTAAGGTAAACAAC